TCAGGGTATACTGAGGACGAAGAGGAAATCATTTTCATCATCCTGCTGCTCCTCCTCCTTTTGCTCTTGATCCTCCTGCTCTCTATCCTACTTTCCCTCCTTCCATCCTCCTCCTTCCCCTCCTTCTCCTCCTGAGGTGGTTGCATAACGACCTTTTGTGGAGGTTTTACACGTCTGTTCCCTTTGTGGAGGAATTGCCCGTATATACCCCTTCAGTGGGCGATGGGAAGCAAAACAAGCACAAGGAAACACAACAAGGCAACGACACCAGACACCCAGGACAGAAAACCCAAAGTGCACATAATGGAACGCACTCGAACGAAGAAAACAACGATTTCAATACTTACCTCTACGGTGTTAAGGAGTTTTTTTTTTTTGAGGGGGGGGGGAAGGAACACCCACTGACAACAATTGCGATGACTGTGATGGCGATGAGATGGCGACATTGCACGGTGACGCTCATGGTGATACTGACTCGTGGTGATTGTAATTGATGAAAGGGACACAGCCGCGATGGAGCTCACACCACATATACGCGACCTCGCATTCGATTCCAATTGACTGATCTCACTACCAGTTGCACCATCGATCTCATTATCGATCTCAGTATCGATCTCACAATCGACCTCACTATCGATCGGACAGTCGGGTTTGCACTATATCTCACTGTCGATATTATGATCGACCTGCTAGCAGACCTCACTAAAGATCTCACAGCGAGTGTTGTTCAGTACGATCGGAACACCAGCGGGGCAATATCGGGGCATCATCGGAACACTATCGATCTCTATCGATCTCACTATCGATATTACAACAGATCTCACTATCGATCCCACTGTCAATCTCACACCAGGTCTTACTGTCGATCTCACAACGAATGTCACAATCGATCTCACCATCGATCTCACTATCGCTCTCGATATCGATCGCACTACCGATCTCACTATCGATCTCACTACCGGCCTCACAAGAGATTTCACGAGACACCATCGGGACACCATGATGGGGCACCCCCAGCCACGACGGGGCACCTCCAGCCAAAGATCGGTCGTGATCGACCTCACCATCGATCTATCGATCTCACTATCGACCTCTCGATCTCACGATCACGAATCGATCACGCAATCGATCTCACTATCGATGTCACTATCGATCTCACAACTGACCTCACGAGCTACCATCGGGACACCTCGGCGGGACACCCGGAGCCACCGTCGCGACACCCCGCGCCACCGACGGGGCGCCCCGCGCCACCGACGGGGCATCCCAGCGCCACCGATGGGGCACCCCGCGCCACCGACGGGGCACCTTCGCGCCACCAGCGGGACACCCTGGGCCACCGCGCTGGGGGGGGCGGGGGGGGGCAACCATCTCTACAGCCCCTAGCCACGGCGAGGTTCGAGGTTCGAACTTCGACGTTCGAGGCGTTTTTTCATAGTTTCGGTCTTTGGGGGGCCGTTGTGGGGCCCAGGACCCCTGAAACTCGATCTCGGGTGAAAAACCGTGCGGATGGACACTTGGGGGGGTCCGGGGACCGACGTTCGGCGACGCGGCCAGGGGGGCGAGTGAGATGGAGAACGCCCTCTCAGAGGGCGGCGGTGCTTCTCAGAAGCCCGCCGGCCTTCGGAGAGGTTTTCTGTGTCTTCGCGTGAGGCTTAGAGAACTTCCAGGAGGCGGGTGGGCTTCCGAGCCTTCTGAGAAGGTCCGCCCCCCTCACTCCCCCCCCTGGGCTGGCCGCGGAAACATGCCAAAGGATCATCTGAGAAAGCCTCAGGGAGGGAGGGAGTGCAGGAGGAGCGGAGGGAGGGAGGGCGGGGCCTCTCAGTTTCTTCCGCATCTTCTTCCGGGCAGCATCGTGATATCAGTTTTCGGCAGATGACTGTAATTTTCAGGTGGGCGACGAAAGAAAACGGGGTCGTCTGCGCCGACGTTGGCGCGTAAGCTGCCCACGCAAGGTCGCGCGTGAGCGCCCTGGTCTCCAAAGTAGCGTGCCGCGCTGGCGGCCCGCGAAAGCCACCGCGTAAGGTCGCCGTGCCATCTCGCGCAAGGCTCGTTTTTGATCGTCGCTTAGGGTTTGGATCGTTCCGTGGAGTCACCGCGTCTGGGTTCAGTGCAGCGATGGGGGGGGTTCTTGATTTCTTTGCAGGATTGTCTCTCTTCTCCGTCCTGACTCCTCCCGCCTGCCTGCTCTCTCCTCCCTGCCCTTCCTCCCCCACTCCTGTCTCGTCCCTCCTCCCTCCTTTCTGTCCCCCGTGAGGTGTCCGCTGCGGCGAGTCATGCGCTCGCCTCGCGCAGTCATGCGCTCGCATCCGAAGCTCACCTGGGTTGTCACGTGCTCCCGCGTGTGGATGCGTGCCCTCGGTGTTGTCGCCCTTTTTTTTGGCTTGTTGCCCCGCTCTCTTTTCTCCGCCCCCCTTCCCTGTCTGCCTGCCCGTGCTCTCGTCTTCCTCGTGCCCCCTCTGCCCGGACCGTCCGTCCTTGCTGCTGGGAGGTCCGGCTCGGAGCGTGCCACATTTGCCAATTCTGCTCGCGCTGCCACACGCAGGGTGGTGCATTTTGGCGTGCACCCCGCTCTTGTCACCCCTCCTCCTCAACTCCTCCTCCTCCTCCCCTCCTCCTCCTCCTCCCCCCCCCCCTCCTCCCCCTCCTCCTCCTCCTCCTCCTCCTCGTCCTCCTCCCCCTCCTCCTCCTCGTCCTCCTCCTCCTCCTCCTCCTCCTGCTCCTCCCCCGCCTCCTCCTCCTCCTGCGGCGGCGGCGGCCCCGGGGCTCCCGAGTCCGCGGGTAGGCCCCGGGGCTTTTGCTCGCGTTGCCCGCTGACTATTGTCGTCAGCGCGTCGGAGGAAGACGCGTGCGCGGACGTGCGCGCATGCGCTCGTGCACCCCTGCGCACATGCGCGCACGGAAGACTGGCGCGACGCTCGGCACACGGCGTCCAGCATTCGTCTCGCGTTCCTCCTCCCACCTCTCCTCCTCCTCCTCCTCCTCCTCCTCCTCCTCCTCCTCCTCCTCCTCCACCTTTCTTCATCTTCCTCCCTCCATTGCAGGGATGAGGATGAGGGAGGGAGGATCGAGCAGGGAGGGAGGGATGATGAGGACGAGGGCGGGAGGGAGGCTGCGGAAAGCAGCGAGGATGAGGGACGGGGGAGCCCTCCCTCCCGTTCTCGCTGCTTCCCGCCCCTCCCTCCTCCCCCCCCCCCCCCAGGTCCTGCCCCGCGCCCTTCTCCCTCCCCTCCCTCCCTCCGTCGCTCCCCCCGTGCCCTCCCCCTCCCCCTCCCCCCCCTTTTTTCCCCCCAGGTCCTGCCCCGCGCCCCCTCCCTTCCCTCCCTCCCTCCGTCGCTCCCCCCGTGCCCTGCCCTCCTCCCTCCCCCCCCTGTTTTTTTTCGCCCACGGCGCCGCCCTTCCCCCCCCCCCCTCCCCGGGGTGCGCAGCGCCCGGGCGCGGTGGAACAGACGCCGGCGCTGAACGACGCGTCCAGGCGCGCCTCCTCCCTCCCTCGGGGGCTGCCAGGGGCGCCCCTGAGCCCCTGTCCCAAGGTGCGCCCCCCCAGCTTTTCGCTCCGTGTTTCGGATCCCCTCGGGTCCTCTGGGCCTCGTGAGGGGTGCTCTGTGGAGGCCGTGTGGGCCTCCTTGGAGATCCTGGGGGCACCGTGGGGCAGGGACACTTCTTGCAGCACGCGACCCTTCATTTCTTTCCCCTCCTCCCCCCTCCCCCAGCCCGGCTTGCCCCTCCATCCCACCCTCCTCCCTCCTCCCTCTGCCCTCTCCCCTCCCCCCTCTCCTGCTTTTCCCTCCGCCCTGCTCCCCCCATTGCGCCTGCCTCCTCTCATCCCCGTCCTCCTTTTTTCGCCCTCAAGCGCGGATCAGCGTTCCTCCTCACCCTGGCTGGAAGAAGGCCGGGGGAGTTCTTGAATCAGCGAAATCTTCGCGTGTGAGTCCTCTGTGGAATTGCAAAGGCCGTCGCTGCTGTTGGTGCCCTTGCTGGCACCGCTTGGCACTGGCACCCCAGCTCGCAGAGCGTCCTCAGTCCGCTTTGGCGAAGGCCTCGCTCTGAGCTAGTGCCCGTCCTTCGTGCCATCCTTGCCCGTAGTCTGTACACGTCTGGAGCAAATTCGCGTTGCTAGGATTCATCTGGTGATACGGTGCCCAATCGATATATGTGTATGCAGATGTGTTTATATGCATATATACATATGTATAATATAATATAAAGGGCATCTCATACTATGATATGGTATATGCTGGCATAATGTAACGCGCTGGAATTTCATACACGATCATATCGTATTGTAATACATTGTATAGTACCGCGCACTCTAACATGATACACTATGGCATGATCTGTTATTCTATTCCACGATATAACACATGAGAACATGTTGCCGTATTGTTTAAGACGATCTGATATCGTATTATAAGAGGCTTTAAGCCATTCAATCACATCTTATACCATATTATTGTTTGAGGCACTACATGCAGTATAAAACAGTATGATCTTCTACCATCGTGTGAGGTACTGTCATTTACTGCAGTGGTACATGCTATCACATATAATTACATGGTGCACTATTTAACCGCAACCAATCAATCATATCTTATAGTGTACTACAATAAAATATGTTATGTTATGCTATCCGATGCTATGGTATGCTTCAATTGTGTCCACATTGTATCAAGTCGTTTAATGTGTTCCAAGCTATCACGCTATTATACACTATTACAATTCAACGCGACGCACTCTGCTATAACTTTGTACAACGTAATGTAATGCACTATCAGAGCATATCGTACACACTATTTAGATATATTATGGCATGCTATACTACAGTATGCGGCATTACATGCAGTAACATGTAATCTATTAATACATCATGTGCTAATGCCGTAGTAGATACTACACTCCATTGTCATAGAGTACACTATATTGTAATACCAGATGATTATAGTTCTCGCATATAAGATATCATAGGATAACGTGGTATACTTTACTATAAGGTTTTTGTGCATCGTATAGTGTCATATGTGGTGTTATGATCTACTATACACCAATACACCATAAACTTGTAACATCATGGGCGTCCAGAGCCCTGGGGACCAGGGCCGCACACTTTTTCAAACTCCCCCCCCTCCTCGTAACCGACTTTAGCCTCGGGATACAGGACCCGTTTTCGGAGTCCAGGATTTTTTTTCGGCCACCCGAGGCGTCCACCATGGTTCCTTGGGACGGCAAGAAGACGCCACGACGGTCCACGAGCGCTCCAAGCCGCCCAAGATGGATCCATGATGGCCCAAGAAGCCCCCAAGAGGCCCCAATGGCATTCCGAGATGACTTCCAACAGGGCCCCAAGAGCTCCAAATCACTGATTTTCAATGTGTTTTCCAGTCTTTTTTGCGTTCTCGCGTTCTCGGGCTGCCGACGCTCCAAGACTGCCCAAGAAGCCTCCAACATCGCCTCAAGAGGCCCTCCAGAGGTCCCCATGACGGCCCAATAGGGCCCCAAAACGACTCAAGGGGCGCCCAAGACGGCCCAAGAGGGCCTGAAGACCTCGCCAAGAGGGGCCCAAGGGGGGGAACACGAATCGACAGGTCGAGCCTTCCCTTCCGCCCCAAGAGGTTCCCAGGAGGCCCCGAGAGGTTCCCAAGAGGCTCCAAGAGGCCCACAAGAGGCCCCCAAGAGGCCCAAAAGCGGCGCAAAGAGGCTCCCAAGCGGCCCCCCGGAGGCTTCAAAACTGCTTCCAAAAGGCCGCCCGAGAGCCCTCTCACGATATCCCAACGAACATACAAGAGGGCTCTAACCCACAACCCAAGAACGGTGGCGGCATGGGCCGAAGGCACCGAGAGGCAACAACCTTTGATTCCCAAGACGATCTTTCAACGATTTTCGTGTTCTCGCTCTTTCGCGGTTCCGACTTTCTGAGTCAGCCGACAACCCCCCCAAAGCCTCTCAAGACGGCCCGAGAGGTCCCCGACGGGGCCTCAAGACGGCCCAGAACGCCCCCAACACAGCCCAAGAGCGTTCCTCGGGGGCGCCTGGAGGAACAGAAAACTCCGAGGCGGAGACAACTTGACAGCGCTCCACCCACTGAATGCTTCAAGGGAGGCTCATGTTGCTCCCATCGTACCTAAGGACCACATCCTGGGAATAATTTCCAGCACCCAAAAAGCTGTCGAACGAGTATCGCCTCCCTGGGCCCGGAGAGCCCCGAGAGGACCACGCGAGGGGCGGAACCTGAACTCACGGAGCCCGCCCGCCCTCCGAGCACGGCCCCTGAGCACGGCCCCCGAGACCGCCAGCAGGGCCCCAGCAGGCCTTTAAGAGGCCTCAGGAGCGCCCGAGGGGCCCCACAGCCCTTCCCCCCCCGTGTTCGTGCCATCTGTTGGGTGAATACGTTGGAGGTCTTTGCATTATGGTTGTTGTTGCTTCTGCTGCTGGCTGCTGGTCTTGTTATTGTTCTTCTTCTTCTTCTGATGTTGTTGTTGCTGTTGTTGCTGCTGCTGCTGTTGAACTCATGCCACTTGTGGGTAACTACGTCAGAGGATCTGTGAACTTGTCATGACCCGGGGCTTGCTAGAGCCTGAGCGCGCGAAGCTCGCGCGTGGTTCTCGTCATGTATGGGGGGAAGGAAGCGCCACATGTCTTGTATGATTGGAAGTCCAGCGTGCGATCCTCCAGTTGGTCCTTCCGATTGTGAGGACAAGGTAGTGCTGCAGCAAGGAACCGATCAGGACTGCTCAGGCATACTTCGGGTCAGGCGTGCTGATCTTGCTGTAGTCACGAGTGAAGGTTTGATAGGGGGCCATGCGCAAACACTCGATCCTTCGCAGGCGACGGAAGCATACTTATCGAAATGGTTGGTTTCCGTTCACGCGGCTTCGTTTTAGGCCCAGCCTGCGTTTTCAGGTCTGGGGCGTCTCTTTTGCTGTCGCGCTCTCCCCTCCTTGTTCTTCTTCTCCGCGAGGGGCCTGGTGTGGCCTGGCCCTGGGGGAGGTTGAGAAGCAGGAGGGGGAGGGGAGGAGGAGGATGGAGGAGCACTGAGGAGGCAGGATGGGGGAGGAGGAGGAGAAGGAGGAGGAGGAGGAGGCGGATGAGGAGGAAGAGGGGACGGAATACTCCCCTTGCGTTCATGAGTCTCGGAATCGAATCTTCGAGCATCACCTTGCTGGAGCAGCTCCCAAACTGTGAATTGTATCGAGATCGCTGCGCTTGCACATCTTTGCGAGCAGGTACGAGGCGGAGGCTGTGCGACATGAGCAGAATGTGCAGGACGCGCAGCGCGCTCGTCGACACTTGCCACTCTCTCCCAGCCGCTGCTTTCTACGAACTTTCGCCCTGTCATCGGTTGCTTTACCACGTCTCTCTCTCTCTCTCTTTCTGTCCTGCCTTACCCTGCTCACTCTCCACATCCCTGCCCTGTCTTGTCTCTGGCTATTCTGTCTGTCATGCACAGCATCTCTCTCTCTCTCTCTCTCCCTGCCCAGCCCTGCCTTGCCTTTCCTTTGCCGTCTCTCTCTCTCTCTCTCGCTTTCCCACCATCCCTTTTCTCTCGCTCTTTCTCTTTCTCCCTGTGTTCTGCTTGGCCTCCAAGTCTTCCCTTCCCTCCCCCTCCTGCGGTCTAGCTGCCATCTACTGCCACGCATGGTGTTGCACGTCCAGTGGGGGAGGGAAGTATACATGTATGGCAGGTTTTTGGACCAGCTGCTTGTATTTCGCGCGTGTCCGTTGCACAAGTGACCTAGGCTCCAGAGGAAGAACGCACGCGGGAGGATGGGAGGAGGAGGGGGGAGCAGGGGTGAACAGGACTGGTTCGTGGCGGAGGAGGAACGCCTGAGCGGACTCCCCACACTTCTGAAGGCTTGCGCCGCGGGGGCTGAGTACTTTCGCGAGGCTTACTCCTCCATCTTCCTTCCACTTCCCCTTGCGCCCCGCCTTCCCTCCGCTGGACAGGAAGTGCTTCCCCCCCCTCTGTTGCACAGTTGCCTGGCTCGCGCTCCTCCTCATCCAGCCCCTCCAGCTCCTCCAGCTCATCCTCATCCTTTTTTGATCCTCCAGCTCCTCCCCGTCTTTTATTATCCTCCTTGTCTGGCTCCTCCAGCTCCTCCCTGTCCTCCAGCTCCTCCTCATCCTTCTTTATCCTCCTTGTCTGGCTCCCCCCCCCCTCTGGTTCGGCCGTTTAGTGCCCTGCACTCTGCCCTGGCTCCTCCCGCGTAGTTTCTGGCACCCTCGGCAGAGCTGCCCCTAGGGAGAAGGACGAGGAGGAGGAGGGTAGGATCGTATTTTCGTTTGCCTCCCTGGTCCTCGTCATCATCGTCGTCGTCGTGGCATGATATACACGTACGAATCATAAGTATGATATTGCAAATGAGATTATCAGTGATAATAATCATGATAATTATGAGTAATGAGAAGAATCAGCAGAGTATCAACAATACTACTGATCGTAAGGATTACAGTGGTAATACAATAGTAGTCATAATGATCAACTGGATAATAGTACCAATAGTAATGCGACAACTACAACTAGTATCACTAAGCAAAAAAGGCGAACCAAAATAATAATATCAATGAAAATAACAATACCAACAATACTAATAATAATACTAGTAACAACAATACTAGTACTATCAACAATAATAGTAATACTAATTCTAATAATAATAGTAATGCTAATAATGATGGTATTAATAACAGTAGTATTACTAATACTAATACTAATACTAATACTAATACGAATAATAATAACAATAATAATATTATTAATAATAGTAAAAATAATAATAATATTAGTAGTAATAGTAGTAGTAATAATAATAATAATAACAATATTAATATTAATGTAATAATAATAAGAATGATGCTGATGCTGATGATGATGATGATGAGGAGGAGGAGGAGGAGTTGGAAGGGGAGGAGATGGAAGGGGGAGGGTCCTCCCTCACCCCTCGTGTCGCCCGAAGCGCCGGCCAGGAGCTGGCCGGGACTCTCACGCCTGGTGCCTCACCCGCTCACGTGTCGGCGGGGCGGGGCCTTCCCTATGAGAAGTGATTCGGCCACGCACAGAGGGGGTAAGGGGGAGGGGGGAGGCTTCTAAGAAGTACCCCTGCTTTTTAGAAGGCTCCGGCCTTGTCTGTAGATGTAGGTTTAGTACGGCAGGCGCATTCTAAGAAGCAGCCTCCTTGTGCGCGCCCCAGGTGATAGAGGGACGAGAAGGAGGTACAGGAGGAGGAGGAGGAGGAGGAGGAGGAGGAGGAGGAGGAGGAGGAGGAGAAGGTACCAATGCCACTACCCTTCGCCCGTTTTCCGCTTTTCAGCCTCCTGGTGGCCTTCGTCGCCACCGCTGGATTCCTTCGAAATCTTGGTCAGAACTCGCCCCGGGAGAGGTCCAGGGAGTAGCAGTATCGGTACCTTTTGGTTTCCCCCAAAGTGAGGGGAGGGAGATGGGAGGGATGATAGGGGGAGAAGGATCTGGAAGAGGAGGGGGAGGAGAAGGAGGAGGAGGAGGACCAGTGTAGACCCAAGACGATGTTGCAATAGACCCTTCTTCCAAGTTCCCTCTTCACAGGCCCCTACGAGAATTCATTTTCACCGCGGGAAGTATCCCAAGGAGTAGGAGGAGGAGGAGGAGGAGGCAGAGCAGGAGGAGGGGGAGGAGGAGGAGGGGAGGCGAGGAGGAGTAGGGAGGGAGGAAGGGAGGTAGGGGCAGGATGGGAGAAGGGTGAAAGAGGACGAGGGAGGGGGGAGGAGGGGGAGGAGGATTCGGCGGAGTGGCAGGCTACCCTGGAGGCGCAGATACGAGAGCTGCTGGAGAGCCAGGACGCCGCCGCACCTGGGGCTGCGACGCGCCCCCACCTCCCCCGAAGGGCTGGGGCCCCTGCCTCTCGTCTCCTACCTCTCCCTCCTTTCTCCCTCTCCCACTCGCTCCCTCCATTCCCCGTTTTTTTGTATTGTCCCTCATTCTCGCACCCCCCCCGAGGAGGAGGATGGTGGTGGTGATGATGAGGAGGAGGGTGACGATGGCAGCGATCACGGTGGTGGTGATGGTGATGATGGCAATGCTGTTGACGACGACGGCGACGACGACGATGCTGATGCTGATGCTGATGACAATGATGATGCTGGTGATGATGATGGTACTGATGATGATGCTGATGATGCTGATGATGCTGATGCTGATGACGATGATGCTGATGCTGTTGATGATGATGTTGATGATGCTGATGCTGATCATGATGCTGATGAGGATGATGCTGATGATGCTGATGCTGCTGATGATGATGATGGTACTGATGAGGATGATAATGCTGATGACGATGCTGATGCTGATACTGCTGCTGATGCTGATGCTGATGATGATGATGCTGATGTTGAGTATGGTGACGGTGGTGGTGGTGATGATGATGCTGATGTTGATGATGTTGTTGCTGATGATGTTGATGCTGTTGTTATTGATGATGATTTTGATGATGACGATGCTGAGGATGATGGTATTGATGATGACGTTGATGATGATGATGATGATGCTGATGATGATGCTGGCGATGATGATGGCTGAGGATGGTGATGCTGATACTGATGATGCTGCTGCTGATGCTGATGCTGATGATGCTGATGATGATGGTGATGCTGATGGTGATGATGATGATGATGAAGATGATGATGATGATGCTGATGATGATGCTGATGCTGATGCTGATGATGCTGATGATGATGATGATGATGCTGATGATGATGATGATGCTGATGATGATGATGATGCTGCTGATGCTGATGCTGATGCTGATGATGATGGATGATGATGATGATGATGATGATGATGATGATGATGATGATGATGATGATGATGAGATGACGATGACGACGACGACGACGACGACGACGACGATGATATGATGATGATGATGATGATGATGATGATGAGATGATGATGATGATGATGATGATGATGATGATGATGATGATGATGATGATGATGATGATGTGGTGGTGGTGGTGGTGGTGGTGGTGGTGGTGATGATGATGATGATGATGATGATGATGATGATGCAGATGATGATAACGACTATGATCCCTCTCGCTTCGCGTGGTGCACGTCCAGGACACGTGCAGTCCAGTCGTTGTGGGGATTCCTGGGAGCATCTTGGGGGCCTCTTGGAGGCTTCTTTGTGGCCTCTTGAGGCTTCTGAGGGGCCTCTTTGAGGCCTTTAGTGGGCGTCTTGGGCCGCCTCTCGGGCGCTCTTGCGCCGTCTGGCCCCTTCGGGGGCCGTCTTGGGGGCCTCTCGGAGCCGCCTTGGGGCTCTCTTGGGGTCGTCCTGGGCCGTCTTGAGGGCCTCTCAGACTGTTTTGTGGGCCTCTTTAGGCCATCTCGGTGTGTTCTTGGGCCCTTTTGTGGTCCTCTTTGGCCGTCTGGGTGCTATCTTGGACGCTTTTTGGGCCGCCACGGGCCCCCGAGGGTTCAAAATGCGAAAACGCTACAATCCTCTACAAATCTGAAGACAAATAATTTGTGGCATCTGCAGGCGCTCTTGTGGGTCCCTTTGTGGCCCTCTGGGGCTCTCTTGGGGGCCTCTTGGGCCCTCTCGGAGACATCCTGGGCCGTCTTGGGGCCGTCTTGAGTCGTCTTGCGCCGTCTTCAAGCCATCTTGAGCCGTCTTGAGGCCCTCGTGGGCCCCTTGGAAGCCAAGGACGCCAAAATCAGTGCCATTCATTCCTTTGTAGGTTATATGTGAGATTGTAAGATGGAACGGATGGGTCCGCGCGACTCGGTGGGGGCGCTGGGAGGGGATTAAGGGGGTTGATTTGCAAAGGATAATATGACACTGCATGGTCAGGGAAACGGCTCCGCTGGGGGTCCACAAGTGATTTCATCGAGCGAGCCGGCCAATTGACTTGCAACTTCGTGTGCGAGATACAAGAGTCGGGTCGATGGCAAGTTCTTAGCGGTCTTGCCTCCACCACCTGTGCACGCGCAAATGTTGTCTTATCTTGAAATTATGTGCATATGATATCCGGACTGGCTCCAGCACGTCGTAAATTGTATATTGTGTAGACTGTATGCTGTCTCTGTCGCTTCGGCGGCTCACCTGCTCAGGGCGATCCGGTGCTGCGTGTTTTGGTATGGGTAGGTTGGTGATTGCGTTCGGTTTCGAAGAAGTGCACGAGCAGGCTCTGTGTCAGCGCTGGGCACAGGGAGGTCGGGCGTGTCCCCAAATGTCGGCCGTCTGGCTGGCTTGAGTTCGAATTGGGGCCTCCTCCTCCTCCTCCTCCTCCTCCTCCTCCTCCTCCTCCTCCTCCTCCCCCTCCTCCTCCCCCTCCTGCTCCTCCTCCTTCTTCTCCTCCTCCTCCTCCTTGTTTGCGTAGTAGTCAGCTTTCTTAATGTGTTTGTAGGTAGGTTTGTACCACTGCAGCTTCACGCTGAGTGTTCTCCGCCTTTTTGGCCAGCACCCTTGCCTCCCGTGCGTTGTTCTCAGTTTTTTTTTTCCTAGTCTGGATCGCTCCTGGGCTGGGGTCTGCGGACTTGTCGAGAAGTTGGGCCTGTTATGTTTCGGTCGGGGCCTCTTCGGAAGGGGCGGTGCTGCGAGGGGCCCTCGGGCCGATGGAAGCACCCTGTCACGGGCCGGCCACAGCGCTGGTGCGCATGGAGGCGACGCCCTGTAGCCTCTCAGGATGTTCGTGTTCTTGTGGACGTGTGCCTCGCCCCAAGAGGGCTTCAGTAGACTGCACACGAATGTAAGATGGAACGGCGCTTGGGGGATTGAGAGGTTTTGCTTTGCAAAAGATGATCTGACACTGTATGACAAGTTGGCTTCTTTGAGGCATCGTGACTTGGCCCTTGCGTCACACAGCCGTCCTGTTCGGAACGCCAACACGCTTCGCTGCAGTCCGGACGTGGATTCGTTGGCTGACGCCGCACCGCCGACCCCCTGGGGACATTTTTGTGAATTACCCCTGTCAAGGGCAACTTGATTCCTTCAGCTTCACGGTGTGCACGTCCAGAGTGCTTAGAGCGCGGGCATTTTGGAGGCTCCTGGGATTTGTTTGGGGACCTCTTGGAGGCCTCTGGGGACCCTTTGTGAACTTCTTGGGGCCTCTCATGGACGTCTGCGGCCGTCTTCGGGTGCTCTTTAGCCGTCTGGCGCATTCGGAGGTCGGTTTGGGGGTCTCTCTGGGCCGTCTTGAGGCCCTCTTGGGGCCCTGTTGGGGCAGTCCCTAGGTTCTCATGGGCCGTCTTCGGGGGCCACCTTGGGGCCCTCTCGGACTGTCTTGGGGGCTTCTTCGGCCATCTTGGGGCCATCTTGGAGGTTTCTTGGGCTGTCTTTGGCTGCTGGAAGTTTAGCCAGGCCAGGCGAGAACGTTATTTTTTCAACAACTTCATTCTGGAGGCCCCCTTGCACGCCTTCTTGGAGTCCTCTTGGGCCTTTTTCGAGGCCTCCTGGCCCGTCTGGAGACCGTATAGTATCGCGACGTTTTGGGGCCATCTTGGGACGTTTTGGAGCCATCTGGGGCCATTTTGAAGCCATCGTGAGGACATCCCGGGGCCGTCTTGACACCATCTTTGGCCGTGCGGGAACAGGAGGAGGAGGAGGAGGAGGAGGAGGAGGAGGAGGAGGAGGAGGAGGAGGAGGAGGAGGAGGAGGAGGAGGAGGGGGAGGAGGAGGAGGAGGAGGGGAGGAGGAGGAGGAGGAGGAGGAGGAGGAGGAGGAGGAACAGGAGGAGGAACAGGAGGAGGAACAGGAGGAGGAACAGGAGGAGGAGGAGAGGAGGAGGAGGGAGGAGGAGAGGAGGAGGAGGAGGAGGAGGAGGAGGAGGAGGCTGAGGAGAAGGAGGAGGAGGAGGAGGACGAGGAGGAGGATCAGGAGGAGGAGCAGGAGCAGGAGCAGGAGCAGCAGGAGCAGCAGGAGGAGGAGGAGGAGGCGGAGGAGGAGGACGAGGAGGAGGGGGAGGAGGAGGAGGAGGAGGAGGAGGAGGGAGTAGGAGGAGGAGGACGACGAGAAGGAGGAGAGGAAGGAAGAGGAGGAGGAACGGGAAGAGGAGGAGGGGGCCACTAAGGGAGGGGCGAATACTAATAATGATAGCAATAATAACACTAATAGTAACACAAATGATAATACGAAGAAGAAATAGATATAACGAATGTTATAGTAATACGCATTATAATAATAGCAAAAACTAGTAATAATACTCATAATATTAATAGGTGTAATACTAATAAGAAGAAGCGGGAGGAGGATGGAGGCCCCAATGGACCGAAGCCGCCCTCCCTCCCGTCTTCCCCTCGTCGATCCCTCCATCCCTCTATCCCTCTATCCCTCCGTCCCTCAACCCCTCCATCCCTCCACCCCTCCATCCCTCCATTCCTCCATCCGTCCGCACGTCCATCCCTCCATCCCTTCATCCGTCCACACATCCATCCCTCCATCCAAACACCTTTCCATCCCTCCATCCCTCCATCCGTGTATCCCTCCATACCTCCATGCGTCCATCCCTCCATCTCTCCATCTCTCCGTTCCTCCATCCCTGCATGCCTCGATGTCTCCATCCCCCCATCCCTCCACCCCTCCACCACTTCTTCCCTCCTTTACTCTATCCGTCTGGACCCCCACAGGGTCTCCTCTTCGGGCAGTCTTGGGGGCCCCCAGGGCCGTGTTGGAGCCCTCTTAGGGGCCTGGCAGGCCGTCTGGAGTCCTCTTAGGGGCCTCCCCTGCCGTCGTGGGGCGATCTTGGGAGCCTCCTGGGCCGTCTCGAGGCCCTCTTGGGCCGTCTTGGGGCCGTCTTCGGGGGCCTCTGGCCGACTCAAGAGATTCTTGAGCCGTCGAATCTAGGGGCCCCCATGGGCCGTCTTGAAGCCCTGTCGGGGGACCTCTTTAGGCGTCGTGGGGCGATCTCCGGGGCCCTCTGGGCCGTCTTGGAGCGCCGGGCAGCCTTGGAGGGGACAGCACGAAGATCTTTGAAGCACTGCAGGAACATCGAAGGCTCTTGCTTTTTGGAGCTCCGTGCGGCCTCATCGAGGCCACACGGGAGGCCTGGGCCAGCTTGATCAGCTGGCCCAAGCCCCAGCAGCACCCACGACGGCCTTCCGCGGACGCTACAAGATGGCCCCGACGACAGGCCCGGAGGAGCGGGCGGACCTGGCGGGAACAGCGGGCCCCGCGGGCCTGGCGGGCCCAGGACGGGCCCGGCGGGCCCAGGACGGGCCCGGCGGGCCCGGCGGGCCCGGCGGGCCCGGCTAGCCCAGGGCGGGCCCGGCGAGCCCGGCAGGCCCAGGGCGGGCCCGGCGGGCCCGGCAGGCCCAGGGCGGGCCCGGCGAGCCCGGCAGGCCCGGCGGGCCCGGCGGGCCCGGCAGGTCCGGCGTGCGGGCCCAGGGGACCCGGCGGGCCCGGCGGCCACACAGGAGACTGTTAATAATGTGTTCGTTCGACCTGGCGCAGTTTGGGGCCGAAGATTGGCAGAATTTCTTCGACATGATCAGTGAGATCCTGCGGAAGCGCGAAGCAAAGAGATGTTCAAAATGAGTCAGGGTTAGTTGCATTTCTTGCTGAAGGGCTTGAGCGACATGCCTTGCGCGCCGCAGAAAGAGTTCTACCGAGGCGTGCGAAAGGGCACATCCCCATCTTCCAGCAGCACTACCAGCCGGGTACTATCGCGCATTGGTCTGGCCTGAGCAGTGTATCGGAGAGCTTGGATGTCGCGAAGTCTTTTGCCAAACCGGGCGGTCTGATCATGAAGGTCCAAGCGCGATCTGCGCGCAGCATTAGGTCATACTCTGCGTTCCCAGACTAAGAAGCTTTGCTGCTTCCAAGCTGCGAGGCGTGCGTCACACAGGGCCTCGCGCCCTGTGAGGAGGGGTGCCAGTACTTCGGGCTTGTAGAGAGGAGTGAGCAGAAGTTCGTCTTCTGAGAGCTCCGGTGGACAGCTTCTTCTACTCCTCATCCTTCTCTTCCTCACTCCTCAAGGGGCCCCAGGACACACAAATAAATACACACAAATAAAAAGATTTCCCATATTTTCCCATATTTTCTGGGTTTCTGTCTTCCCCCCCACTTCCCATATTTTCGCATATTTTCTTGGGAGTCGACGAATAATTGTGTCTGTGTGTTTCTTTCCCTCCTGAACTCCGCCTCCTCCACCTCCTCCCTGCGCGCGCCCGTGCAGTTTAACCCTCGTCGCCTCCGCGAATCTGGCCCCAAACAAAAACAAGTCGTGAGGATGTTTCGGGCAGGTTCTTGTCCGTGAGTGAATAGCGACGATGTCTCGAGCGGGACCCCCCTCCCTATGACACGCCCGTTTCTTCATAATCTGAGCGGGTCATCCGCATATTCTAGCCGAGCGGCAAAAACAGTCATGGCGAAACGCCCGACCATATGCAGTTCTGAGCACCGATCTTGTGAATATCGCCCTGCCACCCTGCCGCCAGGGCCATCGGTGGGCCGCCACAGGGCCACGCAACGCGTGAGGGGTGTGCCGAAACGGGCCTGGGGACGCGTGTGATCTGTGTCACTGAGGCCTTTCGGTGGTGCTCCCGGTGGGGCCCCTCAAGGTGTGAGGGTGTGCCGGGATGGGTGGGGAACCTCTGCGACCCCCACCCTTCCCACTCCGTGTGGGAGCGAATGAACATGTGTGGGGAACCGCATGCGACGTCCCTTTCCTGAGGGCTCAGTTGGATGTCCTTCCGAGTCCATAAATCGTGTGCAGGGTGTGTTGACATGAATAACAACCGCATGCGTTCCCCCCCTTCGCGGGGGCTTCGCTGGAGCGCGTTGGTGGGCCACGAAACGTTTCAGTGGTGTTCCGACATGGACAATAATCGCATGCCACCCTCCATTCATCGGGGCTTCGGTGGAGCTCCGTGTGGGACCACGAAACGTGTGACGCGTGCGCCGAAACGCACGGTGTTCTCAGAAGCCCCGCCGCCTTCGGAGAAGGCCTGCCCCCCCTCTCACTTCCCCCATGGGCTCGCCGCCGAAGCATAATCTCGCCTGAATGGTTGCATGACAGGTTTTCCATCCGGTCTGGCTGCAATGTATAACAGCCCCCCCCACTGAATAGTGCTTCAACATGTTCGGTGCGCGTTAGGGGGGGAAGACATGTGAGAGGCGGATCTCACATGAAATATAGGTGTTAAGAGGAGGACTACAGGGGTTGAGGAAGAGCAGGATGAGGTGGGGAATGAAGAGGTTGAGGGTGGGAGCGGAATTGGGTTGAGGAGGGGAATGATGAGCATGAGGAAAAGAGAGCTGGGAGCGCTTTCCAGGAGAACCTCCGATACGAGCTGGCGCAAGTGAAGAGACAGGCGATGCGCTCTTCTCGCCTATTCCGGGGGCCGTGCTCGTGTACGGAGACGGCATTATTCAGCTTCTCTTCGCTTGCATCCGCCTCCCTCTCCCTCCTTTGTCCCTCGTCGCCCTCCCTCGCCTCTGCTTTCTCGTGCCCCCCTCCATGTCCCCGCGACGACCAACATCAAGATTACCATGGCCTGGGGTGATGTTGTCGCCCGTCACTCAGCGCGTGCAGTTGGCGGTCTTAGATACGCTTGTACAACTGGATGTAACTCGATATTGAGTAGATCGCTGCCATTGGCATTCGAATGATTGTTGCGAGGTTTGCATCTGGCTGAAGGCACGTGTCGGTGATAATCAACCATCTGCATATTGACCGCCTGGTTGCGGGCCTCCTGGTGGCGGAAATGCTGAAGATGGAGAAAATCATAACACTTGCTGTAAAGGCGAACGCTGCCGCCATCCTCTTGCGCTTGATGCCCATGGGTATCGTCAACGTATTGGCGCGGATCAGTGATATCGTTTTTACCAAGTTTCGCTCCATGTGGGCCAACAGACAGTACGCTATGACATTCATGGATAGCTCCCTGAAGGCTAAGAGAGCTTCATATTAGAAGCCGGCACCGCAAGGTAGCCTGGGAGCACCTCGCAGCGGCTTGCTTGAGATCGCAGCTTGTCCCGAAAGCGTTGTCTTAATTCGTTCCCAATGTGCATGCCGGAAGTCTTTCCGCAGCTCCTTCGAAGGTCCTTGGATTCTCCTGCGAAGCTCCTTTCTGGAGCTTGCAAGCTCTCCAGACCTTCTTTCAAGCGTCCTTGCAAGCGTTTCCCACATGCCTTTCACGCGCTGTCGACTGCTCCGCTATCTGGGTTTTGGATGCCACACGGTCGGAGGGCATACATTCGACTAGTTTACAAGTCTTCCATTTGCGGGTGGTATGCTGCTGATCGCAATTTCACCCAGGCAGGTGGGAACTATGATTGGGGATGGCATAGGCTCTGCGCAGCCATTTTCTCTAGCTTGGGCGGGCCCTCGGCTGAGTGATCGAACCTTTTTGCGAAGTGGGCGGGACCAGCAACAACTTTTCCTCCGTCCTCCCCTTCCGCTTTCATCCATGCCCCTCCCCCCCGCCCTCCACTCTCTGCTCCCCATTCATTCTTTTCCCCGCAGCGGCTTGCATCTCGAATAACATTGGTTGAGACTGGAAACATCATCGGGAGGAGGGGAGGAGGAGACGGAGGAGGAGGAGTAGGAGGAGGAGGAGAAGGAGGAGGAGGAGGAAGAGGGAACAGAGGAGGAGGAGGAGGAGGATGTCATTCTTTGGACGATGAGGTCTTCTTTGGATGAGGAGGTCTTCTTTGGATGGGGAAGAGCAGCAGCTTGAGGAACACGGGTATGAGAAGAAGCGCAACGACCAGGGGGCGGGGGTGGGGGCGGGGGTAGGAGTACATCGAGGACGGGGGCAGCGGCGGGGAGGGGGAAGCGCGCGCCCTCCTGCTTTGATTCCGCCTTCTCCTCCTCCCCCTTGGGGGAGGTGGAAGCGCGCGCCCTCCTACCTTGATTTCGCCTTCTCCTCCTCCCCCTTTCGGGGGAGGGGGAAGCGCGCGTCCTCTCCTCCCCCTTTGCGGGGGAGGGGGAAGCGCGGGGGGGGAACAAAGGAAGAACACTAGGATTGAATCGGGCGTGTCCCTCTTCTAAAGGGAGAATCTTCCAGAATAGTAGCAGCATAGTCTTGTGACGATTTTTCCATCTGCTTCAGTTTTCCTTTAAAAAGATGTTTGGGTGATTTCTTATTTTTCATGTTCTTCCAAAATCAGACTGGAGGAGGACATGCCCGACCTACAACTATGAGCAGGCGTCCGTGCGCCAGAGGCCCCGGGTCGCGGCGTACGGGGACAAGTGGGTCCCGCGTTCCGCTTCCGCGGGCCTCGCCTTCCGGGGGTCGGCGGCAGTGGTGCGCAGGTGCAGCGGCAGTTTTTGTTTAGGGGGGCGAGGGGATCATGATATGTGTCCACTCATTCTCAGGCGATCGCAAACATGGATTAAGGGGGCGCGGATTGGCGACGGGTCCTGTTTCCATGGGAAATCGCGGATTTCCGCCGCCGAACGAGGCGGCACCGGCTGCATTTTGGGGAGGGCACCTCCCCCGATCCATGGATTTGGCGACCGCGCGCCAAATCCATGGATCGCTAATCCATGTTTGTTCTCCCCCGCTCATTCGCGCTAGCTGAGGGCACAGCGCTGCTACTGGCGCACGGCCTAGACATTCGTCTATCGTGCCAGTTCTTGCTTGCGCGGCCGCCCATCAGGTCGGCGCGAACTCCAACAATCTTGAGGCGTGGGCGCTTTGGTGCCGCCGTTTGTCGCCTCCTCCTCTTTTCCCTTCTCCTCGTCCTGCCCCTTTTCCCCCCTCCTCCTTTTCGACCTTCTCATTCTCTTTGTCTGGTCGCACCTTCTTCTTCCTCCTTCTTCTCCCTCCCTTCTCCGCCTTATGCCTCCTGATTCTCGTAATTCTCACTCCTCCTGCTCCTCCTCCTTTCGGGGCTGCGTGACCTCTCAGTCAGAGCGTTTGTGCAGGGTCCAAGATGCTGGACATCACCCATCTGTCTTATACATGTGAGCAATGCGGTCTTGGTTTCAGCCTGAAAGGCAAGTCGACCGAGTTTTGGCCGACTCCCTGCAAGCCCAGGCGCCTCGTTCAGCAGCGCATTCCGTTGTTGCTGCAGCGTGCTAAGTGGAGTAGTGGAGACCCTGACCCCGCCCCCGATGACCTTCGGCTGTCTGTGCTTTGCGGGGGTGCCCCGGATCACCCCCTGGCTGACCAGTGTCACTCCACCCACCACTTGGCTGTGCTGCGAGGTGTCCACTGTCGTCAGGTTTGCGGGCTTTTTTGGTCAGTGCACCCTCCCCATGTATTGAACGGAGTATGCCGTGAGCCGTCCGGGGGGCTATGCCCTTCGAAGGCGGGGGAGGAGGTTCTTTCGAGGCTCCTGAGAGGTCTTCCTCCAAATTCACGGACCACATTCACTGATTTGATATGATGTTTTGTTTGAAACAGCCTGCCTAGAGCAGGACCCCCGCGGTTAGTATAATTAGAATTCGAATTCTGCCCACCCTCACCCTCCCCGTCGCCTTGCAGTTTGGTGTTAATTGTTGTTTGTTTGTTGCTTGTTTTCAAGATGTGTCCTGGCTTCTGCAGGGTTCTTCGTCGATGCTTGCGCTGACAACTCATCGCTTACATGTTCGTGCGTGTGCCGCAACATATTTGAAGGCGCGCCACCGCTGCGAACACAGAAGTGTCGGGGCCCAGGCCTTCGGTTCGGTAGCAAATCATGGGAGCCTTGTCTGTCCTGGTAACTCCGTCTTTAGAACGCACTGGCATGTGACAGCGCCTGGTAGTCGATGAGCACGCGCCAACATTGCGTCGATCAGCGTCGACTGGCGCCGACAAGCGTCGGTTCGCAAGAGCCAGCAAGTTGACACAGAGTTTAATCCACGAGTTGCCACAGACGAGGACCCCGTCCCCATCCCTGCCGGGCCATGGTGTCGCAGCCCCCCCATCCCGCCCCCCCCAGGTCGTGGAAGGGCCCCTCGAAACCCGGAGGCCCTCGGAACCCAGAGGGAACCCCTGTCCCCCCAACTGGGGGGGCAGATCGGCCAGGGAGGAGGGTCGAGGGCGAGGAGGAGGTCGAGGACGTCGAGGGCGAGGATGAAGAGGGCGAGGAGGTCGAGGGCGGGGAGGTCGAGGAGGTCGCGGGCGAGGAGGTCGAGGGCGAGGGCGGTCGAGGAGGTCGCGGGCGAGGAGGTCGAGGGCGAGGGCGGCCGAGGGCGAGGAGGTCGAGGAGGCCGATGGCGGGGAGGAAGAGGCGCAGATCGACCCAGACATCTGGCCGCTCCAACATTTTTTCGATGCGTGGGCCCCGGAAGCCTGGACCACTTCCCCGGGACCGGCTCTCCGCCCCGAGTCGTCTTCTGACGGCCCCGAGGCCAAGCGAGGACGGCGCGAGGTAACCGACGATGGGGGGGACAAAAAAGAAGCCGAAGACAACCCCAAGGACCCGCCGCTCCAGTCCTGTTTGGAGCGTCGGGTCTCTTTGGGCAGGCCGAGGAGGAAGCCCAGGGCGGAGGGCGATCCTGCCCCCTGCCTGGGCCGAGGCTCTAGGCCTCCCAGATGGGGTCCGAGTAGATGAGATCGGGGGATCCTGCCGCATCGCCGATGCATCGACGATGCGCCTCGATGCGGAGCCCGACTTTCGCCTTGTCGACGGCGCCCATGCATCGCCGATGCATCGCCGATGCATCGGCGATGCGGTGCGATCCTCCGACCCCATCTACGCGGACCCTATCTTGGAGAGGGGAGGAGGAGGAGGAGGAGGAGGAGGAGGAGGAGGAGGAGGAGGAGGAGGAGGAGGAGGAGGAGGAGGAGGAGGAGGAGGAGGAGGAGGAGGAGGAGGAGGAGGAGGAGGAGGAGGGGAGGAGGAGGAGGAGGAGGAGGGAGGAGGAGGAGGAGGAGGAGGAGGAGGAGGAGGAGGAGGAGGAGGAGGAGGAGGAGGAGGGGAGGAGGAGGAGGCGGAGGAGGAGGAGGAGGAGGAGGAGGAGGAGGAGGGGGGAGGGGAGGAGGAGGAGGAGGAGGAGGAGGAGGGGAGGGGAGGAGGAGGAGGAGGAGGAGGGGGAGGGGGGGGGGGAGGAGGCGGAGGAGGAGAGGAGGAGGAGGAGGAGGAGGAGGAGGGGAGGAGGAGGCAGGAGGAGGAGAGGAGGAGGAGGGGGGAGGGGGGGGGGAGGGGAGGCGGAGGAGGAGGAGGAGGAGGGAGGAGGAGGAGAGGGGAGGGAGGGGGGAGGGAGGGAGAGAGGGAGGGAGGGAGGGGAGGGAGGGAGGGGAGGGACGAGGGGGAGGGAGGGAGGGGGGAGGGGAGGGGGGGAGGGAGGGAGGCGAGGGCGGGCGGCGGGCGGGGGGCGGGCGGGCGGGCGGGGGGAGGGAGGGGGGAGGAGGAGGAGGAGGAGGAGGAGGAGGAGGAGGAGGAGGAAGGAGGAGGAAGGAGGATGAGGAGGAGGAGGAGGCCTCCAGAGGCGCTGCAGCGGAGCGGCCCGCCGACGCTGCCGCCCTCGCTGGACAGGCCCTCGGCAGCGGCTGCGCCGCCCGCCGCCCGCCGAGCTGCGCTGCCCGCCTCCCGCCGCCGCCGCCGCCGCGCTGCTGTCTCCGCCCTCGGCCCCCTCGCGCCTCCCCAGGGCCATCCG